ACACGTTGATGTTTCTCTCCATCTCTTTGTCCTTACCTTCCCTTCTCTCTAAAAATAAATAAATAAAATCTTTAAGAAAAAAGAATTTTTCTTAACATGAATACAATTTGATTTCTATAACATTCTTTTCTGAATTTTTGAAACCAACTGTGGTTTCCCTTCTTTAGCCCGTCAGGGTGGTGAATTACACCGATGGTTTTCAGAGATTTGCTTTATTCCTGAAATGAACTTCCCTTGGTCACGACAGATTACTTTTTAATACATGTGGACTTAGTTAACCAAGTTAAGAATTTTTGCCAAACGGGCCCGTAATTTACAACACTCTCCTCCTCACGCCCTTACTCGGTGTGAAGCGCAGGGCCTGGCTGGCCCCACGGAATGAACGCACGGCTCTTCCTACCGTCCGTGTCCTGGGACGTCTCATGTCCCACGGGGCGCAGAGAAGCGCGTGGAAATGGAGCTGCAGGGAGGGTAGGCTCTTCGGTTTCCAGTCCCGGTTCTCTGACCCATCTGTTCCAGAACGTGTTTCTTCTTGCACAAATATTGTCATTTCCCATTTCTCCAGGAACTTTTCCTTTTGGTTTTGATGTTCAAATTTATTAGCCTGTTATTACTCTTTATTATAACACACTTTATTGTGAAAAATACATACAAACGAAAGGCTATATGATAATATATACACACATAAATACATATGTACACGGTTGGGAAACTATAGTAAAGTGAAGGCCCAGCTACCACTTACGGCCACTGTCTCTGGTCGCCTCTGCCCCCCACCCCCCACCTCTGCCTCCTACCTTTCACCTCTGCCCCCCACCCCCACCTCTGCCAATCCCATCTCCCTCCCCCTCTTCCAGTGATTTAATGACCAGGAGAGGTTTATTCCAGGAATGCAAGATTGGCTTAACATTAGAAAATCAATCACTCTAACTAACCATATCAATGGAATAAAAGCAAGAAAACATATGATCATCTCAATAGTGCCAAAAAAAAGCGCATTTGACAAAATTCAATGATCTATTTGTGATTTTTAAAAAACTCTCAGTAACCTGGCTGGCGTAGCTCAGTGGATTGAGCTCAGGCTGCAAACCAAAGCATCGCAGGTTCGATTCCCAGTCAGGACACATGCCTGGGTTGCAGGCCACGGCCCCCAGCAACCGCACATTGATGTTTTTCTCTCTTTCTTTCTCCCTCCCTTCCCTCTCTAAAAATGAATAAATAAGATCTTTTAAAAAATAGTGTCATTAAAAAAAAACTCTCAGTGAAATAGAAACAAAATTTCTCAGTATGATCAAAGCCAGTCTCAAAAAAACCTGTAGCCAAATTCCTACCTAATCATGAAGAACTGAATGCTTTCTCCCAAGGTCAGGCACAAGGCGGTGAAGAGAAAGAAAAGCCATACAAGTTGCAAAAGAAGAAGTAACCGCTATCCCCACAAACAATGTAAACACCCACAGATGAAAGCGTATATAGGATCCACACCAGAACCACCAGAATGGACTGAATTAAGCAAAATCACAGGCTACAAGATCAATATATTGTATAACAACCAATTGTGTTTCCATGCTAGCTGTGAGTTACAAACAGTTGGAAATTGAATTTGAAACCCCACTTACTAGCGCACCCAAAGGCATGATGGGGTAAGTGGAATAAAGTGTGTTCAGGACCCGAACATTAAAAACTATAAAGTAGGGTGGGAAGAAATTAAAGAGTTCCTGAGTAAATGGAGACAGCATTTTCATGCACTGAAAGACTTCATGTGGTTAAAATGTCGATTTCCCCAAATCTATAGATTCTGATCCTAATCAAAATTCCATTAGGCTTTATTTGGTAGAGTTGACAGGCTTCTTTTGAAATGTGTGTGGAAATGCAAACAACTCTGTTTAGCCTGGAATCAGTTTTATAAAACTATAATGTTTTGGAAGACTCACACCACCTGATTTCAAGACTTAGTAGAAAGCCACAGTAACCAAGAGTGTGGCGTCAACACGCAGGTTAACGGAGCAGAACAGAGAATGCCCCTGTGTAAGGCAGGCCCCCGCATGCGTAGTCAGTTTCGGTAAGGTGCCAAGGTGATTCGATGGAGAAATAAAGGTCTTTTCAACCAATGGTGCCACAACCACAGAACATCCACGTGGGACCAACAATAAAAAAACTCACTCTCACCATATATAAAAATGAACTGGAAATGGGTTATATATCTACACATGAAAACTAGAGCTATACGACTTCTGGAAGACAAAAGGGACTTTTAGGGCAATGAAATGACTCTGTGCAAAACCACAACAGTGGGTACGTGTCTTCATACATTTGCTAAAAGCCGTAGACTGTACAATACTGAGAGCGAACGGTAATGCCAGTTACCGACTCCGGGTGGTAAGGGGGTGGCGGGCTCGGCCCAGCAGTTGTATCAAATGGACCGCCCGGCGGGGGTGCTGACGGTGGGGAGGCCGTGCGTGGGGACGGGCGGGGGTCCGTGGGAACTCTGTCTGCCTTCTGCTCAATTTTGCTGTGAACCGAAACTGCTCTAAAAAATAAAGTCCACCTTTAAAAATGTAACTGTAATCCTTCCAGCTCTAAAATTTTATTATTCTAAATATTTTTTAAAAGAAAAAATTCTTGGTCATTGATCTTTAAAATCAGTTTTAAAGTTTGTTTTGAGGCTCTGAACCAAGTTAAACATTTTTTAAAAATACGTGCATTCTTTAAAAGCACTAAATTTCCTTTATCCTTTTAAAAGGCAATTTGTGTCTTTAATACTTGCACAAATCACAACATAAATACACTCAAATGGCATCTATATGATATCAGATTTTTTTACTTTTATATTTTTAATTTTTAAAAAAAAATTGGTGTTTTTTTTTGTTGTTGGAAGAGCAGATATTTTTTAAAAAGAGCACGGCCCGGCTTTCAACACTAACATGTCACCCAGTCTGACCAGCAGGTGGCGCTTGAATCCTACAGCTTGGAATTTTTTTTTTTTTTTTTTTTTTTTGCTAATCACCGGGTATAAATCCAATCTTTCACATTTCAAAGCCCCTCTCCCCCTCCCTCCCCGCCCCTCCCCCCAGGCTGACTGCTAGGCCTGTTCGGGAAATCGTGACCTTTGGTGGCTGAGGTGGAAGCTGAGTTCCATTGCGTGCCCTGTGCTCTGCTCTCCTCCACGTTCTGATGAGTAGAGGATACGATTGAGGGGTGAATGCTGGGGGCTTCTCCTGGGAGGGAAAAAGAAGGAAAAATCCACTGCCCTCAACATGCACCATCTCGTTGGAACCTGCAAGAACCCCCTCAGCTGAGTGGGCTCCAAGATCCTCATTTTGCAGGGAAACTGAGCTTCGGGCCCGAGGTCCCCTCCCGCCCCCAACAGCACCAGCCCCTGCATCCTCAGCTGGGGTCCTCATCCGGCTGCCCTTTGTGTGGGGTGTCACCGTGATGGGTTAATTCTGTGTCAACCTGACCCCCCCCGCTAAGGGATGCAGAGATCAGTGGAACCAATCCTGGGTGTGGCTGAAGGGATTAGCATTTGATTCAGTGACCAAGCCCAGAATCTCCTGGAGCCCAATGGAACCAAAAGGGGAAGGAGGGATGAATTCTCTTCTTGGGCTAAGATGTGCCTCTCTTCCTGCCCATGGACATCGGAGCTCCTGGCTCTCCCGGCTTCAACCTCCAGGACTTCTACCCGCTGCCCTGTGTTCTCAGGCCCTTGGCCTCAGACTGGGGGTTGCACCGTGGGCTCCCCACCCCCCGCCCCCAGGCCTCCGGACTTGGACTGAGTCACACCATCAGCTTTGCAGTTCTCTCGCCAGCAGATGGCAGATGATGGGACTTCTCAGTCTCCGTGTCTGCACAGCCAATCCCTGAGCTGAATCTCCTGCTGGTGAGTCCGCAGAACCCTGCCCGACGACACAGGGACTCAGCCCAAGCCAGGCCATTTCTGTTACCCATCCTGACACACTGATTTCAAAGCATGCTGTTGTAGTCTTCCCCGAGAGGGAGTGTCGGGAGGCGTTAGGGGAGCCAAGTCAATCTCTCATCCATATGACCTAGCCCCCCAAAAGGTTATACTTGTATCACGGTGTAGAAACACAAAGAAAAAAATGCTATATGCCCGAATAATTTTACCATGTTGCTAAAAGGAGTGTGGATGTTTTTACTGGCCACATGCAGGTCCATTTCAGAAGCACGGCGACCCACTAGGATGACAGGCGTGGGTCGGGGAGGCCCAGCCTGGACCTGCAGCGTGGACCACTCCTTCCAGACCAGGGGCCCTGCCCCGTGCGGCGAACCCTCCCTGGCACAGCCATCGGCTGGGGACTGAGGCTTATGGGTCTGCCCGGAGAAGCCTGACGAATGCTCATGTCCAGGGTCACCGCCTGAGTCCGCAGGGAGGTCCCCTTGCTGCGGGGCCTCCTTGGCCACTTCGTGTGTTCCAGTTGTGTGAGCCCACCGAGCGGCCGAGAGGAGGTGCGAGAAGCCCCAGAGAGAAGGGAAGGGCCGGAGGGGATGACACAGACACCGCTGGAGCCCTGCAGCCGCACCGCATCCCAGCGGCTAGGGTTCCTGACCCTGACACCTCAGCGCCCTCTTTCCTTTTCCTCGGTACCTGGAGAGCCCTGACGCGTACACAGGGCGGGGCGGGGGGGACGACACAGGTTAACCTATCATGGAGGACCAGACTGGAGTCATGGAAATTTTCTTTATTTCCGACCATTCCTTTAAAACCGTCCACCCCAGGGTAACTCCCACCCACGCATTGGAAGCCCAGCTCCCCACTCCGCAATTCATTCACGTTTCCGACTCTACGGGACGCTTGCCACCTCATGTCCCATCAAGTCTCCAACATCTGCCCCTGCATTCCTGCACCCTGGCTGGACCCCCTCCCTTTCCCCTTTCACACTGAACGCATGTCTGCAACATGGGCGTGTGTCCCCTGTCTGCACCTGGGGCCTGGGTTTCAGCTTCGCCGTGCCCGGGAGAACGCTTCTGCTGGATGCACCCCTCTACGCAGGGTTCTCGCAGGAGAATGCAATGGGTTTCAACTCAGAGGACACCGGCTTGCCGCAGTGAGGACAGGGGTTGGTGCTGAGCTGGATGGTCCTGGACTGTCCTAAGTCCCTCAGAAGCCCTTTCAGCTCGTCGCAGATCTGGTCAAATCTCTCCAGGTCAAGAGCCCCGTGGGCGTCGTAAGTCTCCATAGGGGCCGGGTACAGCTCGAGGTTTAGACTGCGCAGCCCGGTGGTGTGGCGCAGCAGCTTGTCCATGGCAGCCAGGGACAGGAGGTTCCCGGACAGCTTGAGGGTCCTGAGCTGGTGGCAGCAGCTCAGGGCAGGCGCAATGGCCTCGACCTGGACGTCCCTGATCCCGCAGTAAACTAAGTCCAGGTCCTCGAGCGTGGCCGTGATCTTCTCCAGCAACGTGGAGAGGAGCTCAGGATTGAACTCGGTCAGGCAGACGCCATTCAGATCTAGGTTCGTGAGCTGACGGAGGTTCGGGCACCGGGACAGGTGCATCATGTCCAATTCCGTGAGCAGGGTGTCTGTTATGGAGAAGAGCTCCAAGCGGGTCTGCAGGCAGCTGGGGAGAGACAGGGCAGTTAGTTCTGGGGGGGTGGGTGGCAGGTCGAGGGGGCCTCCGGGTGACAGAGGACCGGTTTGTCCAAGTGCAGGGTGGCTCTGACCATCTGATAAAGGCCAACGGCCAGGACGCCCAGTCTTGCTTCAGGTGGAGTCCTTTCGCTTTCACTTATGTGACTGGGTCAAGTTCATGAACTCTCCAAAACTTCCTTTCCTCACCTGTCAGGCAGAACACTCCACTCGGGAGGATGGATGGATATGACGGAAAACACCGGAACATGCTTAGGGGGCCTGACCACGTCTCGATCAAGCATGGGCATCCCTGAATTTTAATATTGGGGGATAAAACCAAAAACACTCTCCACTCTGGCTCCCTTCTGTCCACGGCTGGGGCCCCAGGTGCGGGGATATCCGGGCCACGTGAGGCTAGTTCTTCTGAGGCAGAAAGAACGCACCTGGGCACACGCTCCCGCCACACCAGCTGGGCTGGCCAGTCTGCGGGGGTTCCCCGCAAACCATCTCTCACTTTCAGTCACCCTGTGCGCCCCTCCTCCCCAGTCTCCAGAATCACGCATTTCCCATCTACTCCTCGCCTTCCCTAGAGCACAGAACCTCTTCTCCCAGACGGGGAAGCGGAGACAGGGCCGTCCGTGTTCACGCAGCTGGCAGGCACGGAGCTCTTCTTTGGAAATGGCTCCATCTCACGCGGCTTCTCCTCTTCACTCACCTCTTCGGAAGTCGCCTTAATTGAGACATCTCTCCCTGAAGAGGCATTTACAAGCCCACCCTCGCTGGCTCCGAGCTCCCTCTCCCATTTGTCCCTCCTCCTTTCTTTGGGGTGGGGGTGGGGGCTGCGTGATACCACCCTTCAGAGCAGCAAATGAGACAAAACGCTTGACATCTTGCCGCCACGCCCCCTGTCCCACAGCTCACCTGAGCAACTTGTCCAGATGGCCCGTGAGAAAGGCGGGAGATTCCAAGTAGAGATCCCGCAGGTGCTGCAGCCGGAGGAACTGAGAGGTGAACCTGATGATATGGAACTCCTCCACCCGCTTCTCCTCCCTGGAGGCCGGCAGGTGGATGTGGGACAGACAGAGGCTCTGCACGTTAGTCATCTGACCCAGGTAAGAAGCAAACGTCCCCAGACTGGACAGGTTCCAGGGGCAATTCACATACACCTCCTGGATGCAGCTCAGCTGCACCAAGGCCAGGGACTTGATGTTCCTGACGGGCACTCCCGAAATGTCCAGCGTCTTACAGCACAGGTGGAGGGACCCTTCCCTCCTCTTGGCCCATGAGATGACGTAGGTGAGGAAATGGTCCTGGATCCTATTGCTGAAGCGAAGGTCTATGAACACCTCCAGGGGGACCAAGGGCTGCTGCATCCCGGAGCTGCCCTCGGCCCCGGGCCCGGTCTCAGAGTCCCCCTCGGCCCTGGCTGCAGACCACCTGCTCCAGAAGTCCTGGCCGGTGTCCCGTAAATCCAGCACCCGCAGTCTCCACCTCCTGCAGGGGAAACGGGGGCACTGGCTGAGATGCTCTTCGGCCAACAGAATGAGAGCGGATCTGAGTGAGCCCGAGCGCCTGAGAACTTGAGGCAACGATTGGACTCCACCACCCCCAAGCTTTCACTCTGCACCCCAACATCAGTTTCTCCTGTGCCCTCTTCTTCCTTCTCTGCGTTGTGTGTCTCCATCTCCTTCCCCTCCACACTTCCTGGCCAGCAGGGCTAGTGCCTTTAAGTACCACAGGGAGGACGCAGGGCATGTTTTTTCGGGTGCCCCTGCCTTGTAAGCAGGCCTCCAAGCTTCTCCGAATGTCCCTGTCACCCTCAGAAACCTCTGGCCCACCCCCTCGGCCCTCTACCCTGCCGGGCCCCAGCTGTCTTCCGGGATGCCCAGGACCCTGTGGGGCTCCCTGGATCGGCCTCACCTGGGGCGAACCTTCTGGGCAAGCAGGATGTCGAGCCCGTCGAACACAGCCTGTAGGGTCCTGCCCTGAGGCGTCTTCATCAGGGTCCCCAGAGGGAGGTAGTCGAAGGGCCAGGCGCACACCATGGTCTTCAGGGACGCCCTGTGTCTCCCCGAGAAGGCCTGCATGAACAGTGGCGGGAAGAGGTCGGAGGGCAGGCACTCCAGATCCCTGGCAGACAACACCCTGTCCCTCAGCAGGCTCTGGCCCGCCAGGTCCAGGAGTCTGGGTGGAGTCTGGAAGCTCATCTTCGTTCTGTTCCGGAGGGAATCCCGTGGACACGTCTAGAAGACAAAGCATCCCTGTCAGGACAAGCACGAGCCCCCCCCAGCGTCTGACCCCCCCGCCCCCCTTCAGAAGACTCATCTCAGAGCCAAAGCCACCCCCTGGTGATGGTGATGGCCTCAGTTTACCCAGCTGCAGTCTGCCCCTGCTGGCCCCAAACAAGCATCTCAGAGGCACCCACATCTCTGATTCTAGTGCAACCGGGAAGTGGGGACGGAGGCGCCTGAAAGCTGGCCCCGCCCTTCTGGAGGGGAACTGGCAGACCATTGGTTGCCCCGAAGGGACGGAAACGGAGACGTCATGAGGCCCAATCAGCCTACACCCTCCGTTCCCATAGTCAGCCCACTGGGGGAAGACGCCCCTCAAATGCATGCCATTCATAGTTAACATTTTACAAATATATTTTATTGATCATGCCATTACAGTTGTCCCATTTTCCCCCTTCATTCCCTATGCCCTGCACACCCCCTCCTGCCCCCATTCCCCCCCCGCCCCGCCTTAGTTCATGTCCATGGGTCATACATATAAGCTCTTTGGCTTCTACATTTCCTATACTATTCGTAACCTCCTCCTGTCTATTTTGTATCTACCATTTATGCTTCTTATTCCCTGTTCCTTTTCCCCCCACTCTCCCCCCCCCTCCTCCCCCTCCCTGCTGATAACCTTCCATGTGATCTCCATTTCTGTGATTCTGTTTCTGTTCTAGTTGTTTGCTTAGTTTGTTTTTGTTTTTTAGGTTCGCTGGTTGATAGTTGTGAGTTTGTTGTCATTTTACTGTTCATAGTTTTGATCATCTTCTTTTTCATAGATAAGCCCCTTTAACATTTCATGTAATAATGGCTTGGTGATGATGAACTCCTTTAACTTGACCTTATCTGGGAAGAACTTTATCTGCCTTTTCATTCTAAGTGATAGCTTTGCTGGATAGAGTAATCTTGGATGTAGGTCCTTGCCTTTCATGACTTTGAATACTTCTTCCCAGCCCCTTTTTGTCTGCAAGGTTTCTTTTGAGAATTCAGCTGACAATTTTATGGAAACTCCTTTATAGGTAACTGTCTCCTTTCCTCTTGCTGCTTTTAAGATTCTCTCCTTATCTTTAATCTTGGGTAATGTAATTATGATGTGCCTTGGTGTGTGCTTCCTTGAGTCCAACTTCTTTGGGACTCTCTGAGCTTCCTGGACTTCCTAGAACTTTGTTTCCTTTGCCAGATTGGGGAAGTTCTCCTTCATTTTTTTTTTCAAATAAGTTTTCCATTTCCTGCTCTTCTTCTTCTCCTTCTGGCACCCCTATGATTTGGATGTTGGAATGTTTAAAGATGTCCTGGAGGTTCCTAAGCCTCTCCTCATTTTTTTGAATTCCCATTTCTTCATTCTGTTCTTTTTGAATGTTTATTTCTTCCTTCTGGTCCAAAGCATTGATTTGAGGCTCAGTCTCCTTCCTGTCACTGTTGGTTTCCTATACATTTTCCTTTATTTCACTTTTCATAGCCTTCACTTTTTCTTCTATTTTGCGACCATACTCAACTATTTCTGTGAGCATCCTGATTACCAGTGTTTTGAACTCTGCATATGATACGTTGGCTATCTCTCCATTGCTTAGTTGTATTTTTTCAGGAGATTTGATCTGTTCTTTCATTTAGGCCAATTTTTTTTGTCTTGGCACACCTGTTACGTAGTAAGGGGTGCAGCAACCCACGTGGCTGTGTTGTCTCACTGCTGTGTGTGGGGAAGGGCTCAGAGAGGGAACAATGCTCCTTGCTCAGCTCTCAGCTGGCTTTCAGTCACTCCCTCCACTAGCCACCAGCAAATTGGGCCCTTCTGGTGCTGATTCCCAGGTGGGTGGGTTTGTGTATGTTCTAGGACCCTGTGGGTCTCTCCGAGGAACTCTCTATGAGGCTGGGAGTTTCTCCTGCTGCTGCCGCAATCCCCCACAGGTGTTTTCAATCAGAGGTTTGAGGCTTTATTTCCCTGCGCTGGAGCCCTGGGTTGCGAGGTCTGTTTTGCTCCCCAGTTGTTCCTCCCAGTTTATCTGCCCGTGAATGTGGGACTGCCCAGTCTGCCAGCCACCACCTCACCTGACCAGTCCTCTACCGACCACCTTGCTGAGGGTCCTCTCTGCCTGGCTGCCTGTTCTGCCCCTCCTACTGGTCTGGATGAATGTTTCTTCTTTAATTCCTTGGTTGTTGGCCTTCCATACAGTTCGATTTTCTGTCAGTTCTGGTTGTTTTTTTGTTTTTAAATTTGTTTTTGTCCTTTTGGTCATGTGAGGAGGCACAGTGTGTCTACCTACACTTCCATCTTGGCTGGAAGGCCATCTTTAAACTTTTTAAATGGGACAAAAAGAAACCCAAAACAAAACAAAAACCATACATGTGAAAATGAAAAGGAACAAAACAAAAAGAACAAAAATGAAAATAACAGAAGTAGAAACACACACACAAAAATAAAATAAAATTGGCTCCGTTAAGATATTTAAAAATAGCAAACCAAATCAGAAATCCAAATGCTTGGGATTTGAGCAAAACTACACTTAGAGGCAAAACCGAAGACTGAAATCTGCTGGTCTGCGAAAAAAGAAAAGAGAAAGGTCTCTGTGCCATCTCAGGCTGCGTGTCACCGTGGGAGACCAGCTGCGTTAGGTAAGAGGGGCCGTCCCCAGTGGAGGGGGCAGCTTACCTGCGCTGATGCGGTTGGCTGGGCGCTCACACCTCAGACCAGGTGGAGACCCCAGCAGGGACTCCAGAGGTGAGTTTCTGTGTCTCTTCTTGGGTGTCCGAGGCTTCTATAGACCTTTGTAGTCGCATCTTCCCCTTTTCAACGATCATCATCCAATCAGAAATCAATACCTAATTAGATTCCTCAATCTCTAGCCCTTAACCCTGATGGGATCTTTCCCTTCCGCCAGATGAATTGATTGGATCAGACATTCGCGTAAGGAAGGGAGAGAATTAGGGAGGGGCGAGGTTCAGGGCTGAGTTTTGCTGACCGCCCAGCGGTGGTCACCCTCGGGGTGAGCCAGGGAAGGGTGCAGTCGGCTCCTGGCTTCGGTCAGGGGGAACACAAAATCGGAAAGCATCCCCGTTGGGGGATCTCTGGCCACAGCAAAATTATTGAAATGTCCCAGGGTTACAACAGCTTCGGGAGGATGATGGCGCAGTCCCCAAAGAAAAAGAAGTAAATGTGTCTGGGCCTGAGGTTGTCACTTAGGCAGGAAACAGAGCAGACCCTGAGCTCACTCAGGGAGCAAGGGACATGCCGCTGAGGACGGGCTGGACCCCCAGACCGCTGGGCTTCTCCGGAGGAGGTCATGTCAGAACTGCCACGGGGAGCCGGGGTGGGGGCTGGGCAGGGTGGAGCCAGGCTGTCCTGAATGACCCAAGGCCATGTAACGGACGGGGCCTTCCTGGGGGAGAAGAGGGTTTGAGAGGCTTCTCCCTGGGTGAGTTGAGACACTAAGAGGGGACAGGCCAAAGTGGAGACAGTGTCACCCTTCAGGGCAAAAGGGAGGTTCTGTCTCTGCCCCTCCCCAGAGGATGATGGGAATAGCTCAGCAAAGTGCAGAGAAGATGAAGGACTGGCAAGTTTCAAAGCCAGGCCGCTGACCGAGGTCGTTATCACGTCTGCAGCACAGGAGTTCAGTGTCTCTTCTGCCTTCATCCGGCTCATCCTGGGCCAGGCCACAGCACCCTGCTGGACTGTTGGCGTAAGCTGGTGTCAATTTGGCCACCAGGGGGCAGGCTCGTCCCACCCGAGGGCGGAGCTCCAAAGGGGCTGGGTTCTGCAGTCCAACCAAGCCTTGCGTCCTAGCAGAGGGAACAGTGGCCCTGCACGGGGGCTCTGACTCAGGTCTGAGTTGTCCTCTGTGGCCTGGACTGTTTCCTTGATTCCGTCTATTGTCTTTGAATGTTGAGCAACAGCCCCCAACGTGCATGCAGGACTTACACCGCACCAGTCGCTGGACTCAGTCATTTTCTCTGCCTTAGAGATGATCACTGACAGAGGAAGAGAGAGATTTCGGGGGCAGGGAGGGTGGAGGGGTGGATAGTGGTTTCTTCTAGGCCCCAAGGCCTGTCAGTGGTGGAGGCAGAATTCTAAGGCCCGCCTGTTGGTCCCTGCTCTTGAATATGACACCCTGTGGTCCCGGCACCTGGCAATGCGCTGCTCATTGGTGCTTTGTAATAACATCCTAGTGTCATGGGCTCTGCTGCGGCTGCAGGAAGCCTCAGACAGCACCAGATCCATAATGCACCATGCTGCTTGCACGGCAGAGTCTGCTACCACGAAACACCAAACCGCCCAGATAAACCAGAGGGGCCCAGCCTCCTCCGCCAGGCAAAAATGACTCATCCAACCCCTGCCTTGGGACACCGGCCATGGCTGGTGGTGGTGACAGTCAGCAGGACCACCCGGCAAAGCTCCGGTCCTGCGCTTGGTTCCCCACCATAAATATTAACTCAACTTTTCTCCTGCCACTTGTTTTCTTACTTGCTAGAATGTGGTAGCAAGTGACCCCCACCCCAAACATGTGAAAAAAAATTCATAGAAAAATAGCCCGATCCATTCATTTTTCTGTTGTTTATCTGTGGTTGGTTTGTTTTGGTGACAGAACAGCTGAGATGCTCCGAAAGCAGTGGCGTGGGTGGGCGGCCAGGGCCGGGCTCTCACGGGTACAGAGGCAGGGAGCCGATTCCCTCTCTGAGGCTGGCCGAGGAGTCGAGGGACTCATTTCTGCTGAGTCAGGAGTGGGGAGACGCTGAGCCCTGGGGAGAATATCTTTAGACATCAGAGTGGTTTGGGGCCTGGATACAGAGGCCTCCCCCTCCAGGGCGGGGGGGTTTAGGACTGTGAACAACAAAAAAAGGGGGGGTGGAGAGGCTCTGTAATAAATCTAATTGGAAGTACCCTCACAAGGTGGGCTGACCGTACATTGCCACGTGGGCAGGTCATGGTGGGTACTCACGCCCAAGGCTAGCACGCCTTTGGAGGCCTCTTCTTCAGAATTGGGGCCACAGCACCCCCAAGAGGGCACATCATCTTGTTAACGACCCCGTCATCCAATCCCCACCCTGCTTTCTCCCACCTTCACGTAAGTCTCCTTACAGTGCCTCCTGAATTCCGAAAGTATAAAAGAAACCACAGACTGTCATCCTGGGAAGCCGTTTCCTCAGTCCGTGGAGTCTCGCTCCCAGGTCGCCTGTTCTTACCTCGATAGGAAGCAGCTGGTCGGAGGGGGCTCGCCCCAGATGGAGAACAGGAGGGGTGTCGAGAGTGGGGCAGAGTGTGGGTTCACGGAGAAGCTCCGAGAGACCAGGGTTCACTCATTCGCCCAGCCAGGGATTGGTAAGCACCCACTGAATACCCGGCGCTGTCTCTACAGTAGCAGATGCAAACAGTTGGGGAGGGGGCGTGAGGCGGAGAGAGGCCATTCACAGGAAGGCTCTGCGGTTCCAGTGCGGACAGCCCAAGGGGGCAGATGGGGGAGGAGCTGCTCGCAGCCCCCGGGTGGCCCCCACAGCAGGTGGTGACGCACGTGGCAGGGGACGGACTCCATCCTGGGCGAGGACGGCCCCCGAGTCTGTGCGCCAGGGGTCCGCCCTCCCTCCCAGCCTCTCGCCGAAAAACTCCCCATCCCAAACTCCTACAGAGATCGGAGAGTTAGGAAGTGGAGGGGAGAGTCTGCATGTCTTCCCTTCCTCTGAGCCCTCGGGTTCAAGTGCACGTCTGCGGGGGCAACAACAGACCCACTGGACTCCTTCTGGGCTGCCCTCCCCGTGACCCCATTTGACTATTCCATGGAGTTTTCAAGAAGCGTCTTGGAGTCCGATTTGTTCCTCTCACTGGATCAGAGACTCCTGGAGGTATACACCCAGCTGTGAGAGCTTGAAGGAGTCCCATGACCTCTCTGGGCCTCAGTGTCCCCTCCCGTGAAACAGGAGAGTGAAACTTAAGGATCCTTCTGTTTCTTCTAACAGTCTTACCTTCTGCACACACATGACGCTCCACCATGTCAAAGAGCTTTAATTGTGGGATGGGAAAGGCAGGAACCACGGGTGTGGAGGAGGGGCGGGAGCTCTAAACCCAGACCATAGTTCTGAGGGCCCCTCCCACGGACTGGATTCAGAGCTCGGGCTGTCTCTGCAGTACCTCCCGCCCTGCGGCGGCAGGCCCCACTGTACGGTGGGTCTCCGGTTGGTGCTGCCTGGGCCGCCCGTGGTGGGGTGGTTCTCAGAAGCGTGGGACAGGGTGCAGGCGAGGGGGAGGGACCGGGATGGAGTGCTCCCGCCGGGACAGAGCACACAGCGGAGGCCGGGGGTAGGACACAGTGTAGACGCTCTCTCTCAGGCCAGCCTTGGGAGGGAGCCATCTCTGCTTCAGCTGCTCGTAGAGTCCGTAGTTTGTAGGGGGAGCTGTGAAAAAGAGCAGGTCCAGGGACTCAGCTGCCAGTGCCCGGGAGGGAAGGTAGGTTCGTGGGCGGGCGAGTGTTGGCTTGGCCAGCTCATGGGAGCCTCGGGCTGCAGAGCTCCCTGTGTACTCAAAAGGGACCAGGAGGCCTCGGAGAAGTCAGCCCCATGACCTGCTGCAGGGTGGCGCCACCTGCTCTTGGGTAACTCTCCCACCCCAGCAGGGAAGGGAGCAGTGTGGGCTCGGGAGGTGAAGAAACCCTTGCAAAAAGTCACGCAGAGGGACAAGCAGTTCACTCTCTGACCTATGTCCCATTGCGTTCACTGAAGGGTAGGACTGCCGAGAGAGGAGGCAGAGGCTGCTGGGTAGCTTGAAACATAAATCAGACTAAGCTACTCTCCCAGGTAAATTCCTCCAAAAAGCCTTGGTGCTATCTTGGAGCTACCCCGACCCTGGAAGGCTCTTCCCCCTAATCCCTGCTGTGGTTCCCTCCTTCTCCACTCAGTTAAAGCCCAGCCCCCATTGTCCCACCCACAGGAGATCCAGGAACACCCACCTCACTTTCTAGCCTCACCTGTTTTCATCAGAGCTCATATCCCAGCGCAAAACTACTAGATCTTAGGATATCTTATTCCTCAATGGTGTCTTAATTGTCAGCCAACTGGAGTGCCAACTCCCTGAGGGCAGAAGTCCCTCTCTGTTTGTCCTTGCTATGTGTCCAAAGGCCCGGCACCTGGACCCTCGTACTAGTCAGGAAATGAACGATCCATCCAAATGTGCAGACCCATTGCTCCTGACACCTGTGCTCCAGGCAAACCTGCCACTTCGGGGCACAGGTGGGGCTTCATCCCACCGCCAGCCTCGCACCAGTGTCGAGGGGCAGAGGACAGAGGGCAGCCCTGGGGGCAAACAGGACTCCTCCCCCCATCAGCTCCTTCTAATGCTCTCCTTGAGCCAGAGCCAGGGCCCCCTGGGCGTGTCCTTCTGCGTGAGCCGGGCACCCCTCAGCCTTGGGCAGGTGTGGGCCCCTTACAGCCCAATGCGGGGGGAAATCTAGAATTATAAAAATACCCAGAAGAGGGAAGTCGGATCTCTCTGGAAGCCACTGCAACTTATGCTTGTCCCAGCTGCGGCGTGAGGCCAGGCCCGGGTTGTAATTGTGCCGGTTGTAGTGGTCGTCGTACGTGCTGATCAGGTGGCAGTGCGAGGGCTCCTGGTGGTGGGTGAAGATGTGTTTGTACGGCAGCCCCTGGCAGGACAGACAGCGCGGCCTGTTACTGATTGGAGCCGGGCATCACCTGCCCGCCTCGGTGAGGGCGGGTGTGGCTGCGTGGACTCCCGGGGCCGCACGGGTCCGACCCACCCGGACGCAGCTCCCCTCCAAACACACGCCTCAGCTCAGCTGCGGTCAGTTCTCTGTACGAGTGACCCCCGGCTTCAGCCCAGTCAAAGAACTACGGGGGCGCATTCACATGAAAGTCGGGACCCCCGGCTGAATGGGGAGGGTCACCCCGTCTTGTCGCATGCCCCTGCGCTCTGAAGCTGTCCCCTTTCACTTGTCAGCCCAGTCTCCAAGTGCCTGTCTCCATGGCCAGTGAAAGCTGAATCCGGAGCCTGGCGTCTGCACCTTGTACTTCCGTCGGTTACCATGGGGAGCGCTGGCGAGCAGCCTTCCTCCGCACGGGATTTACGGCGACCTCAGCTGGAGACCCGGGGAGGGGTCCCTTTGGTGGAGAGTAATTTACGGGGAGAAGAAAGCCGTGTTCTCCCGGCTCTGGGACGTGTGCCTGAATCAGAGCTTTTCCTCGGACAATCCCTGGGCCCCAGACAGGAATCCGGGGGGACTGGGCTGATTTACGGGGGAGGAGAAGGTCGATTTGCACGCCCGTCCCCCAGTCTGGAGCACGCGGAGGGGTCTGTGGCTGCTCCCGTCTGGAAACGCCGACTGCGCCCCATATTTCAAGTGCCGGCCCATAAATAAGTCCGATCACAATGGCGGGGGCAGACGGGGGTGGGGGCGTGGGCGCAGACATGCGGCCGGGGCTCCCAAGGTCGCCGTCACCAGGTGCCCAGAGCATTCCCAGAGCCAGGGAAAGCCAGCCGAAGAGGTTCCCATCAGCCAAGGGCAGTGCCGAGGGGGACAGGACAGAGACCAACAAGCATTTCCTGGCTGTTTCTCTCGGTTCGGGGGCACCACCCCGCTGGCTTCATCATGTTCCCAGGATTTTTGTTTTCCTCAGCTATGGTAAGGTGACCTACATACAGACAACTGCCTTTGAGAGGAAAGCTTCTAGGTCCCCAAAGAGGGGGCGTGCCATGCCACACCACGCAGGGCCACAGGGGGGAGCGCCAGGGCGGGCCAGGGGCAGAAAAGGAAGAGAGTACAGCCCAGGGAATGGGCGAGGCACGGCCGGCTGGTTTGAGAAGCTTAGGATGGCGCAGTTTGGCTAGTTTCAGAAGGCTCTGGGCTAGAGGGGTGCCTCTGGTTGTGGGTGCCTGCCCTGGAGTGGCCTAAGCGGAGGACAGTGGCTGGGTGAGTGAGTGTCAGACAAAGGAGGTGGCTGCGGAGATGGGCTCGGATGGTTGGATTGTGTCCCTCCCATAGCAAAGCATCATAAAAGAGATGAAACTAACAATGTGATGAATACCCCTGCCTGGGAGAAAAGCACAGGAAGGGGGTCTTCCCTGGGGGGTGATAACCTCAGCTCTCCAAGGTCCGCTTGAACAGCCATCAGCATTTGCCGAAGAGGGGTCCTGGGGGCGGGGGCCGGGGAGTGGTGTGCAGAAGGAAGCCCAAGAGAGCTGAAGAAGCAGAAGCAGCCATGCAAACAGACCATTCGAGCTGTCTGTAGGGACAAACGTCCGATTGCTTGGTTCTATTCCGTGTGTGTTGGGGGGCGGGGGGCTTGGTCTGATTTTAACAACCGTGTGCGTGTGTGTGGTCAGCCCTCCACCAAGGTCTGGGGCAGGTCCGAAGGTCTGAGAAAGGGCAGCTCGTGAGCGTGGAAGACAACGTGAAGTGCCCCGTGTGCACGGCTGGTTGGGGACTGGACGCCCCGACCGTGGCTTCTAACTTTTGCCTCCTTGTATTAAAGTGCATCTGTGGCCTCAGTGCGCACCAAGGGTGAAGTCGGCAGCCCCAGAGCAGCAGCCGGGTGTCTGAGGGTGCCGGCACAAAGCTGAGATCCTGGCGCTCTCTGGAGACCCCGACATGGGGGCACCCCTTGCTTGATTTTCAGAGCGGGCCCCTGCTTTGTCCCTTAGCTACACAGCTTCACACGTGACACGTGACACACACCACCCCTGGGCACATTTTACGGGAAAATGAGTGTGCTGAGCTCAACAATCCCTTGCAGCTCCAAATGCTCCCATTCTGACAGATGTCCACCCCTCGTCCTGGGCCTCCCTGCCCCCCACCCTGCCTTCAGGCAGGTGGAGGGTCCAGCAGGCGTGGTGGGAGGGGGGGGGTCCTGAGGTTGCATCCCCCTGCTCCCCGCTCCACAGGCCTAGAACACGACATGCCACAGACACCCAGGGAGAAGGAGCTGAACGTGCCCTTGCCTTTTCAGACAAAAGAACAGGAAGCTGGGGCTCAGAGGACACCCAACGCTGTCATCCAAACCTCACCGCCACTTGTTTTGGGAGCACCTTACGTGATCCCTCACAATAGTCACCTTAGTTCAGTGTTGACCACGCTCATTGCGTGTTGCCTACAGCCTGGGCCCGCATCCTGCTGGGGAAGTGTGGAGGGGTGGGGAAGATGAAGCAGGAAGGGGCTGGGGTGCAGGGCGGGGGAAGCTACCAGCTTCAGACTGCACAGACCTCTGCTCACCAGGTCATGTGCCACCTGCAGCCGCTGGGCTGGGGACAGCACAGACGAGCCTACTCCTGTGTTCCCGAGAGGACACTGGACCCAGAAGCAGCCGCCTGGTGGGGCCTCTGAGCCCTGGGTTGGGGCGCAGCCCGAGCGTGGGGCCCCTACTTCCTCTTACCTCAATTCTGCTCCTCCAGTTCCACCTGGAGACCTGGTCCGGTCTGTAGCCAGGGAAGGGAATGTACTCTTTCCTGTAAGTGGACTGGAGAGTCTTCTCAGTGGCTTTGGTGAACTGGAAAAAAAAAATCAAATTTTCAACACAACGTCTGGGGCCTCCCTTCTCAAACTTCTGCTGCAACCCCTCACCTCCTGGGCCATCCGAAGCCGGGCAGGGAAAGGGTAAATTGGGACCCCACACAACGCAGGCTTAATTCTGTCCCTTCGCTTCCAACACCGGAAAAGGAGTGGGCGCCCCGCCGTCTAGGACCCCGCCGACCGGTCCCTCGCTCATCTCCTCTCTCCCTGCTCCTCCCCCGTGCTCACCTCCTCCCCGTCCTTCTTCGTGTTCACTCTTTCCGACTCACCCTCCCCCCCCCCCCCGCCCCGATATTATGGTTCCTGGTTGATATTTTACATTTGTATTGTGGTAAAGTACCCATAACAAGATTTACCGTTTTAGCCATTTCGACGTTTGCCGTTCAGTGACATTAGCACATTCCCTTTATCATGCAACCACCACCACCGCCCACTTCGAGAACTTTTTCATCATCTCAACCCAAAACTCCATCCCTATTCAGCAACTCCCCCCCCCCACCTCTCCCTCAGCCCCTGGCGCCCACCATTCTACTTTCCATCTCTATGAGTTTGACTACTCAAAGGACCTCTTTTAGGTGGGATCATACAGTACTTGTCTTCTTGTGACTGGCTGACTTCACGTAGCATAGTGTCTTCAAAGTTCACGGACATCGTAGCGCGAGTCAGAATGTGTTCCCTCTTAAAGGCTGAACAATATTCTATTGCACACATATGCCATATTTTGCTTATCCATTTATCCATCACAGAATTATTTCTGCCCTTTGGCTACTATCAATAATAGTGCTATAACCAGGAATGTACAAATATCTTTCTTAAAGACCCTGCTTTCAATCTGGTGAGGGGTTATAGAGCCAGAAGTGGAATTGCTGGGTCAGGTGGGAATTCTGTGTTTAACTTGGTGAGGAAATGCCATACTGGCCGAAACAGTGGTGGCACCACCTTACACTCCCACCAGCAAGGCGCAACAGTTCCCGTTTCTCCACACCCTCACCAACACTTGTTATTTTCTGTTTGTTTTTTTTTTAAGATTTTATTTATTTTTAGACAGAGGGGAACAGAGGGAGAAAGAGAGGGAGAGAAACATCAATGTGTGGTTGCTTCTCACACACTCCTCACCAGGGACCTGGCCCGCTACCCAGGCAGGTGCCCTGATTGGGAATTGAACCAGCAACTCTTTGGTTTAGCAAGCCAGCGCTCACTCCACTGAGCCACACCAGCCAGGGCTATTTTCTGTTTTTTTGTTTTGTTTTGTTTTTGTTTGTTTGTTTGTTTTTTACTAATAGCCATTTCAGTGGGTGTGAAGTGGTAACTCATTACGATTTTGATTTGCTAAACAGTTCTTTCCCTAATGAGTAGTGACGTTGAGCATCTTTGTGTGTGCTTATTGGTCATTTGCCTGTCTTCTTTGGAGAAATGCCTCTTCAAGTTCTTTGCCAGTTTTTAATTGGGTTGGATTTTGGTGTTGAGTTGTACAAGTTCCTTATATACTCTAATGTTATTCCTTTATCACATAGAAGATTGGGAAATATTTTCTCCCATTCTGTCAGTTGCCTTCCCACTTTGTTAATAGTTTTCTTTGGTGCATAAAAGTTTTTAATTTTGATGAAGTGCAACTTATCTATTTTGTTGTTGTTGCCTGTTTTTTGGTGCTATAGCCAAGCAATGATTGCCAAATTCAGTGTCATGATGCTTTTCTCCCATGTTTTCTTCTGAGAGTTTTCTAGTTTTAGGTCTTTATCTAGGTCTTTGATCCATTTTTAAATTTATGTTTGTATATAGTGCAAGGTAAGGCTCCAGCTTGATTCTTTTGCATGCGGCTAGTTTTCCCAACACCATTTGTTTTTTTTTTTTTTTAAATAGGTCTTTTTTATTGAGTGGTCTTGGTATCCTTGTTGAAACCATCTGATTTGACATATAAGGGTTTATTTCTGGGTTCTTTATTCTACGCCACAGGTTTATGTGTCTGCCTTCATACCAGTGCCACACTCTTTTGATTATTGTAGCTTTGTCCTAAGTTTTGAAATCAGAGAACATGAGTACTCCAACTTTGTTCTTCTTTTCAAGATTTGTTTGGCATTCAGAGTCTCCTGAGATTCCCAATGAATTGTAGGGCAGTTTTTAAAACTTGTGCAAAAAAAAAAAAATCCTAGAGATTGCTTTGACTCTGAAGATAGTTTGGGAAGTAGTATTGGCATCTTCACAGCATGGGGTCTTCCAGTTCATGAGCACAGGATTTCATTTCATATATCGCCGTCTTCTCTTATTTCTTTCAACAACGCCTTGTTTTTAGCGAGTAAGACTTTTTCCTTCTTCAAGTTTATTTTGAAGTATTTAATTCTCTTTCATGCTATTATAAATAAAATTGTTTTCTTAATTTCCTCTTTCAGATCGTCCACTCTTACTGTACAGAAATGCACGTGATTTCCGCATGTTGATTCTGTTCCCTGCTACTTTGTTGAATTTGTTTATTTGTTTTAATGGGGGGGGCAGGGGGTGTGGTTGGGGGTCTTTAAGGTTTGGCGCACATATGATCATGTCGTGCAGAGATGATTTTACTTCTTTCTTTCCAATTCTATGAGTTTTATTTCTTTTTCTTGCTCTGGCTGGAACTTTGAATACAATGTTAAATAGAAGTAGCAAAAGTAGGCATCCTCGTCTTAGAAGAAAAGCTTTCAGTCTTTAACCTTTGGGTCTGATGTTAGCTGTGGGCTTTTCATGTACAGCCTTCATTATGTGGAGGGAGCCAAGTACTAAGTAAAATTCACCAGTGAGGCTATTCAGTCCTGGGCTTTTATTTTCTGAGAGGTTTTTGATTACTAATTTAACTTCCTTACTAGTTACCAGTCTATTTAGATCTTCTATTTCTTCATGACATTTTCTTCAATACATACTGTTTCTCTTTGCTTCTTGGAACATTTTTTGACCTAAAGTCTATTTTTTTATGATGTTAGTATTGTCACTCCACTTTCTTTGGTTACTGTTTGCATGGGATACCTTTTCCTACCCTTCCACTTTCAACCTGTGCATGTCCTTAGGTCTAAAGACAGTCTCATAGATGGCACGTAATTGGATCCTGGTCCCCTCTCCACCCCCATTCTGCCAATCTATGTCTTTTGATTGAAAGTTTAATCTATTTACCTCTAATTACTGTTAAGGGAGGACTTACTTTTGATATTTTATCCTTTTTCTGTATGTCTTACAGGGCTTTTGTCTCTCAGTTTCTCCATTATTGTCCTTTTTTGTGTTTAATTGATTTTTTGTAAGTGATACATTTTTATTTCCTCTCATCTCCTTGTGTATATTCTGGAGATATTTTTGTAGTTATCATAAGCATTACATAAAACATTCTAAGGTTATAACATATATATATATTTAAGATTTTATTTATTTATTATTTTAGAGAGGGAAAGGAGGAAGAGAGAGAGAGACAACAATGTGCGGTTGCTGGGGGTCATGGCCTACAACCCAAGCATGTACCCTGACTGGGAATCGAACCTATGACACTTTGGTTCGCAGCCCACGCTCAATCCACGGAGCTACGCCAGCCAGGGCTAACGTATATTTTAAATTGATAGCAACTTAACTTAACTCATATATAAAAACTTCGCAGCTCCACCCTCTCCCACTTGATGTTATTGATGTCACAAATTACATATCAACATATTGGCACCAATGAACATGGACTTATAATAACATTATGCATTTGTTTCTAAATTCTATAGAAAATAGTGGAGTTGCAAACTAAAATTATTATAACAGTGGCTTTTATATTTGTCCACAGATTTACCTTAACCATAGGTCTTCATATTTTTTTATGGCTTCAAGTTATCTACCATTGCTCCATTTCAGCTTCAAGGATTTCTGTTGGCTTTTTTTTTTTTTTTTTTTTTTCAGGGCAGGTCTAGGGGCAATGAGCTTCCTCTGTTTTTGTTTATCTGGGCATGTTTTCCTTTGTCTTTCATTTTTAAGACGAGTTTTGCTGGCTATAGTGTTCTCAGTTGATAGTTTTGTTTTTGTTTTGGAGCATTTTAAATATGTTGTTGCCCCACTGCCTTCCACATGCAAGGTCTCTGCTGAAAAATCTTCTGATCACCTTATAGTCTCCTTTGCAAATGGTAAGTCATTTTTCCCTTGCTGCTTTCCAGATACTCTATGTCTTTGACTTTCAACAGTTGATTATAATGTGTCTCTGGGGTGGTCTAGTTGGACTTATTCTACCTGGAGTTTACTGTGCTTCTTAGATTTGTAGATCCATGTTTTTTCTTCAAATTGAGGAAGATTTCAGCCATTATTTCTTCAAATTATCTCTCTGCCACTTTCATGCTGCCTTTCCCCTCATAATGTGTATGTTGATCAGCTTGATGGTATCCTACGAGTCCCTAGGCTCTATTTACTTTTCTCCATTCTTTTTGCTCTTCAGGCTCAAATATTTCAAGTGATATTCCTTCAAGCTCTCTGATTCCTTCTTCTGCTTGTTTAAGTCTACAGTTGGTAATCTCTAGTGCGTTTTTCAATTTAGTTATTGTATTTTTCAGCTCCAAATTCTTGTCTTGTTCCTTTTTGTAATTTATATCTCTATTGAAATTTCATTTTGTTCATATATCATTTTTCTGTTTTTCTTTACAGTTGACCCTTGAACAATATGAGTTTGAACTGTGTGGGTCCACTTATATGTGGATTTTTTCCAATAAGTACTATAAATGTATATTCTCTTCCTTACAATTTTCTTAGTAACTTTTTCTTTTCTTTGACTTACTTTATTGTAAGAATACTAATATATAATAATGTATGATATATAATCATCCAAAATATGTGTTAATTGCCAGTTGATGTTATCAGTAAGGCTCCTGGTCAATAGTAGGCTATTAATATAGTTAAGTTTGAGGGGAGTCCAAAGTTATACGTGAATTTTTGACTACACAAGAGATGGGCCAATCCCCCTAAGCCCTACATTGTTCAAGAGTCAACTGTAGTTCTTTGTCCATGTATTCTTTCAGCTCTTTAAGTATATTTGAGATAGTTGTTCTGAAGTTTTTGTCATATACTTCTGATGCCTGTGCTTCTTCAGAGGCAGTTTCAGCTACTTTAGTTTTTTTCTTTGAGTGAGCCATGTTTTCCTGTGTCTTCATATACCTTAAGATGTTTTGTTAAATATTGTGCATTTGGAAAACAATAAAAGCCACCTTTCTGAATCTTTGCGAGCTAGCTCCATTCAAGAGAACATTTCTGCTAACTAACAGGGCAGGTTCTGAACCTTGAAGTCAGGTTGGTGTGAAGACTTCAGGACTTCTCAGGACTTTTCTGTGCATGCCGCTTGCCTGGGCTTCTTTGTGTGTGTATGTGTTTTCCCCATGTACATGGCTTCTTTAAATGCCTCAGTCTCCTACAGACTCTCTTCCCTGCTTCTTCTCAGGGCCTTAGATGTTCTGCTGCATTTCTCTCCCTGTGACCTCTTGCCCCTGACATTTGCAGGTCTGGAGTCTGGCAGCTTGCACTAGCTGTGACTACTGCTGCTATTCACAGCTTTTCTGAGCCCAAAATCTGAACTATGCCACTTTTCCTGTCCGAGCTCTGAGTTAGGTAAAACAGAGACCCATCAGTCAGGCAGCCCCAGGCAGGTTAGAATGCTGCTCTACTCCTTCTGAGTTTGATGGAGGGAACTAGCAGCCGGGCCACTGCTTCCCCCACGCTGCACCATGTCATAGTGAGGGTATGTGAAAAGGGCAAGTGAAAACACCATGGGGTTCTCTACCATTTTGAACGTGGCTTTTTCTAAATCGGGCATTTGATTTGTTGCTATAGAGCTTCGACTGTTTTCCAGAGCCTCTACCCAGTTAGTTTAGCTCAGCAACAGTAGTTTTGTAAATGCTTCCATGATAGAACAAGGACCTCAAATTTCTTAACCTGCTCCCTTTCTTACATCATGCCCACTCCACTCTCTTTATGCAATTTCCTCTAGGTATAGGGCCAGCTTGCAATATCCCTGGGCACTGCCTTGCCTGCGGGAGTCTGAAGGGATTGCTCAGGCAGTCCTTTGTGCCCTTGGATCTTCCATGACACATATCCACTCCTCACACAAGACCACGTGCACTCAGATCTAAGAATGGCCACCAGTCATGTCTGGCCAGAAAGGTGGTGGATGCTAATGGGCTCCATAAAAGCAGCCTTTTCCAGTTCTCAGAAATCACCACCCATCTTCCCACACTTACACCAAAGCTACCAATTCTATCACCCTTTTTCCTTGGCCCATTTCCCAAGAAAATGTGAGGATATTTCGATATCCCTGCAAAAATGTAAGTGGCTCAGTGTTGATAGCCAAACAGGAAGACATTCCATTTTAAGTAGGCCAATTCAGGCAAAGTGTTTTGTAATGGCCTCTGAAGAACACGGAAATACCACGAGCCCAATTGTTTTGAAAATAGAATCTGAAGTGCACAGGCAGCAGGGCAAGGCATGGAACAGGTGCCAGGGAACAGCAGCTCATCCTGGTCACCAACGCAGGGAATGTCAAGCCTACCTTGGCAGGTACTGCATTCTGGTAAGGGCCAGGCCAGGGAGAGCAGAGATTCTTCACATCAAGGTTCAGAGCCATGGCCAGTATGGCTCAACTTGTTGGAGCATCATCCCATACACCAAAAGTTTGGGGGTTCGATTCCCCATCAGGGCACATACCTAGGTTGCCAGCTCAATCCCCCATAGGGATGCATATGGGAGGCCACCAGTCGATGTTTCTCTTGCCCTTTCCCTTCCTCTCTCTCTAAAATCAATAAAGATATTGATTTTAAAAATCAAGGTTCAGAAGAATTAGGGACAGGAAATATCAGATGCTTAGAAAGTCTCCACTGAAAATAGTACTATGAGGCGCAACTATATTGACACGCCTGCTATAATATTTGGAAGACACAGTGGGGACCTTGAGGGTTGCTTGTCTGTAACTCCCGATGCAGCACACAGACACCCTAATGCCGTATTTTAAGACGGTCCTTGATTTGAGAATAGTAATGGCTTCACTCCTGCCTCTCCCTGCCTGTCCTCCCTCTGAGCACTGTCTACCTTCTGTCTTTCCTTACCTTCTTCCTCTCTTCCACCCAGTTTCCAGTGAGCACGTGGGTTGAATACTTGCTCTCGATCTTCCAGCTGGGAGTGTTCAGTGACTGTGGGTTCACTGCGGTCAGTAACTGCATGGTGAGCCTCCACCCAGGTGTCTTTGACTTGACACAGTTTACGGTTTCAGGAGCAGGGAGATTTTATGACATTGCCGCGTTTGAGTGCCTTTTATTTTTCTTCTCAGACACCCTTCTGAGCGGGCGGTCGATGACACCCTGCCAACTTCACAGAATAAAAGGGCCTCGAGAATCCATTTTCAGGCTCCAGGGAGAGGTGAAGTGATCTTGGATTCCCTATTGTTGACTGTCTCCGTGGTGATAGACTGAGTATAAACAGGCTCCTTCAGGGAGCAGCTGATTCTTCAAGAGCAAAACTGTTTTAGCTTGAAAGCTCAAAATTTTGTCGTTGACAAGTACTGTTTGTTGTTTTCCTCGAAGTGACAGATATACTTCGATCGTCTCCAAGCAAGTATCTGCCAGATATTCCAATCTGAATAATCATGGTTTGTCTCCCAGTCATCCCTTCAAGTAAAAATGGTACTTAATTGAAAAGGATCCCAGCTGGCTCTGCTCACAGCTCAGTCGCACACACAGTGCTCCTTCTCCAGAGAAACCTTGTACATGGGCGTGCAACAGCAGAGCCTTGCTCACCCTCCTGCCCGTTTCATCACACTGCACATTAAAAAGACATCTGCTCAAGGGTCTAGATTTAATAAAATCAATAAGAATGTCCTTGCGCTGGCTGGTGGGGCTCACTGGGTTAAGCATCAGACTACAAACCAAAAGGTCGCTGGTTCAATTCCTGGCTAGGTGCCTGGTTGGGGTGGGTGACAGACAACAGATTGATGTCTCCCTCTCTTTCTCCTTCCTTCCCCTCATTCTAAAATCAAATAGGGTATTTTAAAAAAAGAATGGCCTTGATAAAGATGTAAAAATTAAGTGAAACTGGCATTATCCTTACTTTACGGCAAGTGTATGGTGGTGGAGATATGGCCACTTGACCAGCTAATGGCACTGCCTTGATTCACACTCAGGTACTGGCAGTTTTACCCCCAGTGCTTTTGCACTAACAGTGCAAACTTCAACATTGTGAACCAGGACAAATAAGATCTTAGTAGTGTGGGCGCTAGACATACAAAGAAGTATACAGATGATGTATCGTAGAACTGTGCACTTCAAACCTATGTAATCTTAACAAATGTCACCCCAATAAATTTAATGTTTAAGAAGGGGGAAAACTCAATGGCTATTCCATTCTATTGTCATTTGAAATAGAATGCTATTTAAATAATATTTATTTTTTTGTGTATATTTTATTGATTACACTATTATGGTTGTCCCATTTTTTTCTCCCCTTTATCCCCCTCTGCCCTGTACTCCACTTTCCTCCAGCATTCCTCCCCCCTTAGTTCATGTCCATGGGTTGTATATATAAGTTCTTTAGCTTCTCCATTCCTATACTATTCTTAACATACCCCTGTCTATTCTGTACCTGTCCAATTATGCTTCTTATTCCCTGTACCTTTTCCTCCACCCCTCCCTCCTGATAACCCTCCATGTGATCTCCATTTCTGTGATTCTTTTCCTGTTCTAGTTGTTTGCTTAGTTTGTTTTTGGTTTTATTTTAGGTTCAGTTGTTGATAGCTGTGAGTTTGTTGTCATTTTACTGTTCATAGTTTTGATCATCTTCTTTTTCTTAGATAAGTCCCTTTAACATTTCATATAAAAAGGGCTTGGTGATGATGAACTCCTTCAACTTTGCCTTAGCTGGGAAGCACTTTATCTGCCCTTTTATTCTAAATGGTAGCTTTGCTAGATAGAGTAATCTTGGATGTAGGTCCTTGCCTTTCATGATTTCAAATACTTCTTTCCAGCTCCTTCTTGCCTGCAAGATTTCTTTTGAGAAATCAGCTGACAATCTTATGGAAACTCCTTTGTAGGTAACTGTCTCCTTTCCTCTTACTGCTTTTAAGATTCTCTCCTTATCTTTAATCTTGGGTAATGTAATTATGATGTGCCTTGGTGTGTGCTTCCTTAGGGCCAACTTCTTTGGGACTCTCTGAGCTTCTTGGACTTCCTAGAAATTTATTTCCTTTGCCACATTGAGGAAGTTCTCCTTCATTTTTTTTTTCAAATAAGTTTTCCATTTCCTGCTCTTCTTCTTCTCCTTCTGGCACCCCTATGATTTGGATGTTGGAGTGTTTAAAGATGTCCTGGAGGTTCCTAAGCCTCTCTTCATTTTTTTGAATTCTCATTTCTTCACTCTGTTCTTGTTGAATGTTATTTCTTCCTTCTTGTCCAAAGTGTTGATTTGAGTCCCGGTTTCCTTCCCATTACTATTGGTTCCCTGTACATTTTCCTTTATTTCACTTTTTATAGCCTTCATATTTTCTTCTATTTTTGCGACCATACTCAACCATTTCTGTGAGCATCCTGATTACCAGTGTTTTGAACTCTGCATCTGATAGGTTGTCTATTTCTTCATTGTTTAGTTGTATTTTTTCTGGAACTTTGATCTGTTCTTTCATTTGGGCCATATTTTTTTGTCTCAGTGTGCCTATTAGCCTGTTACATAGCAAGCGGCAGAGCCTTAAGTATTCCCCAGGGCAGGGGAGGGGTCAGAGAGGGGACAATGCTGCTTGCTCAGCTCTTGCCTCACTTTCGGTCACTCCCCCTACTACTCACAAGCAAATTGTGCCTTTCTGATGCTGATTCCCCGGTGGATTGGTTTGTGTATATTCTAGGACCCTGTGGGTCCCTCCAACAGACTCTTCTGTGAGACTGGGAGTTTCTCCTGCCGCTGCAACCCCCACAGATTTTTAAAGCCAGAGGTTTGAGGCTTTAGTTTCCTATGCTGAAACCCTGGGTTGTATGCACAGTCTGTCTCACTCCCCAGTTGTTCCTCCTGGTTTATCTGCACATGAATGTGGGATCACCAGGCCCACCAACTGCTTCCTTGTTGTGTGTCCTCTCTGCCCCAGCTGCCTGTCTCCGCCCCTCCTGTGAATCTAGATGAATATTTCTTCTTTAACTCCTGGGTTGTCAGACTTCCACACAGTTCAATTTCTGGCAGTTGTGCTTGTGGTTTTTTGTTTTTATTTTATTGAATATATTTTATTGATTATGCTATTACAGTTGCCCCATTTTCCCCCTTTATTCCCCTCCATCCTGCACCCCTCTCCTGCCTCCATACCCTCCCCTCCCAGCTTAGTTCATGTCCATGGGTCATACATTTAAGTTCTTTGGCCTCTACATTTCCTATACTATTCTTAACCTCCCCCTGTCTATTTTCTATCTACCATTTATGCTTCTTCCTATACCTTTTCCCCCGTACTCCTCCCTTCCTGCTGATAACCCTCCATGTGATCTTCATTTCTGTGATTTTTGTTCCTGTTATAGTTGTTTGCTTAGTTTATTTTTGTTTTTGTTTTTGTTTTAGGTTCGATTGTTAATAGCTGTGACTTTGCTGTCATTTTAATGTTCATATCTTTGGTCTTCTTTTTCTTAGATAAGTCCCTTTAACATGTCATATAATAAGGGCTTGGTGATGATGAACTTCTTTAACTTGACCTTATCTGAGAAGCACTTTATCTGCCCTTTTATTCTAAATGATAGCTTTGCTGGATAGAGTAATCTTGGATGTAGGTCAAGACATCTAAGACATCAAGTAATCTTGGATGCCTTTCATGACTTCAAATACTTTTTTTATTTTAATCATTGTTCAAGTACAGTTTTCTGTCCTTTACTCCCATCCCAGCCCACCCACCCATCCCTCCCCACCTCCCTCCCATTTCTGCCCCCCCCCCAGTTTTTGTCCATTGTCCTTTATGCTTGTTCCTGTATACCCTTCCCCTTTCCCCCTGAAATTCCCTCCCCTCTCCCTTCTGGTCACTATGAGCCTGTTCCCTATTTCAGTGTCTTAGGATATATTTTGCTTATTTGTTTGTTTCGTTGATTAGGTTCCTGTTAAAGGTGAGATCATATGGTATTTGTCTTTCACTGCCTGGCTTGTTTCACTTAGCATAATGCTTTCCAGCTCCATCCAAGCTGTTGCAAAGGGTAGGAGCTCCTTCTTTCTTTCTGCTGCATAGAATTCCATTGTGTAAATGTACCAAGTTTTTTGATCCACTCATTTACTGATGGGCACCTAGGCTGCTTCCAACACTTGGCTATTGTAAATTGTGCTGCTATGAACATTGGGGTGCATAGGTTCTTTTGGATTGGTGTTTCAGAGTTCTTAGTATATAATCCCAGCAGTGGAATTGCTGGATCAAAAGGCAGATCCATTTTTAGTTTTCTGAGAAAATTCCATACTGTTTTCCATAGTGGTTGTACCAGTCTGCAATACCACCAACAATGCAGTAGGGTTCCCTTTTCTCCACAACCTCTCCAACACTGGTTGTTTGTTGCTTTGTTTATGATGGCCTAGGCTAGATTTCTAAGACACATCATTGAGTGAAAAAACCCAGTGGCACAGCATGCACAGAATTATTATTCTTTTGTATAATGATATATGGCAAAGTCATCCCATAAAATAATAGTCTGTATTTTCTATGAGTATATATCTGTGTATGTAAAAGCACAGGGACAAGCTCTGAAGGTTAGAAAGACCCTAGTACCTACCCACCACCCCCAACAAAAAAAGGGAAAGTGGATACATTCAGATAAAAGGGAATAGAGTTGCAGGAGAATAATCAAAAGGGACTGTGTCTTATCTCCAGCATTTGAAGGTTTTATTTAAAAGACTATATTTATCACTTCTATAATTTCAAATTAATTTTCAAAAGGTAGAATGGTCATGGAAATCTGATTGAAATTGTGGCAGCTGTCATATTGCCCAAAAATATCTGCTGTCCTCTCTGGGGAGGAATGTGCTTCTCTGTCCCATCAGCATCAGGCTTGGCCATGTGTCTTGCTCTGGCCAATGCAAGGTGAGCAGAAACCATGAGCCTCACTTCCGAGAAGAAGCTTGGGGAGCCCATGTGTGACCCACATGTTCTTTTTCCCTCCACCATGAGGCTGGAGATGTTTCAACAGAGGCTGCTGCCTTCAGCCTGGATCTCAGAGCAGACACATAT